TGCCAATTTGGATTCAGGAAAATAAAAGCACTACCGATGCAATCATAAAAATGCTAGATTTGCCTTTTACACAGCATTGGAAAATAAGGAATATACACAGGGAAATTTTTTTTGACCTAAGAAAAAGCTTTTGACACAGTAGACCACGCATCCTACTCCACAAAAATTGACCATTATGGTATAAGAGGCCCATGCGCTTGCATATTTCAAATCTTACCTTACTAATAGGTATCAGTAGTCACCATTAAAGACACAGCATCAACAACACAGCCACTTGATACTGGAGTTCCGCAGGGGAAATGTCCTTGGTCCCCTGCTCTTCCTCATATACATCAATTTATCTTCCAAACGTATCTCAACACCTGAAACCCCATTTTCTTTGCTAACGACACGACTTTATGTCATCTCTCACCCTAATCTTGCCACCCTCACACCAAATTTTTAACGAGGAGCTGATCAAAAAAATCGACTTGGATGACAGCCAATAAACTTCGCTTAACACTGACAAAACCTACTACATTATGTTTGGTAGCAGAGCAGGAGATGCGCAAATTAACATTAAGATCGACAACACTCTAATTGCCAGGCATAATGAGGGCAAATTCCTAGGCCTATACCTCGACAACAACCTGAACTTCGCCCCATATCCAACACAACCAAAAAAGTATCCAAAAACGGTTGGGATCCTCTCCAAGATACGATACTACGTGCCGCAAACTGCCCTTCTCACACTATACCATTCACTTATATATCCATACCTCACCTATGCTATCTGTGCTTGGGGTTCAACTGCAGCAACACACCTAAAGCCAATAATAACCCCAAAAAGCCGCAGTAAGATAATCACAAAATCCCATCCCTGGCAACACACCCCCCCACTCTTCAGAGATCTAAACTTACTCCCTGTTCAGTACATCCACACTTACTACTGTGCAATCTACATCTACAGGACCTTAAATTCCAATATTAACCTTGACCTAAAACTCTTTCTTGATAGTTGCGACAGAACCCACAGGCACAACACCAGACACAAACATCTCTATGACATTCCCCGTGTCCGACTAAACCTTTACAAAAATTCAATGTATGTCAAAGGCCCTAAAATCTGGAACACCCTACCTGAAAATTCTAAAACTGCAGACACATTCATCACCTTCAAAACTACCATCAGAAAACATCTTATCTCCCTGATACACCCTGTCAACTAATTACAAGAATACCACCTGGTGGTTAACACTTACACTCACTCACCCATTTGACCATAAACAGAAATATCAATCTCAATCTCAAAATAATGAATCTTAACTAATCATAAGTTGGCCTGTGATACTCCAATACTGAAACTATGTATAGTGCCAAAACAAAAGCATTCACATTGCTAAACTCACAAACTAGTATTTAGTCACTTAGCCATAATACCAACTTATCTTATAATTTTGTAATATTTTAAACTTAAGATTTAATTTAAGTCTGCCTGAAATGCCTAGCCATGCTAGGTGTTCTAGTGGTACACTCTGTAATTATTATCTTACTACATGTAAACCACACAATAACCAAATTCTGTAGACTCAGCATTGTAATCCTTATAGAGAATAAACTTTGAATTGAATTTGAATGTAGCCTTACTTGACTGCAGTGGATAGCTCGCTCTCATGTATCAATGTGTCATCAGCTGATACATTGTTGCCACTCATTTTATATTTAATGCAGCTGACTGCTTGTCTAACTCTTTCAGTGTTGACACCCCACCCTAAACTGAATGTGCCTTCTGTGTCATGATTTAAAAAAATAATAATAATTTTATTATTTATTATTTTTTTTTATTATCACACCGGCCGATTCCCACCAAGGCAGGGTGGCCCGAAAAAGAAAAACTTTCACCATCATTCACTCCATCACTGTCTTGCCAGAAGGGTGCTTTACACTACAGTTTTTAAACTGCAACATTAACACCCCTCCTTCAGAGTGCAGGCACTGTACTTCCCATCTCCAGGACTCAAGTCCGGCCTGCCGGTTTCCCTGAATCCCTTCATAAATGTTACTTTGCTCACACTCCAACAGCACGTCAAGTATTAAAAACCATTTGTCTCCATTCACTCCTATCAAACACGCTCACGCATGCCTGCTGGAAGTCCAAGCCCCTCGCACACAAAACCTCCTTTACCCCCTCCCTCCAACCCTTCCTAGGCCGACCCTACCCCGCCTTCCTTCCACTACAGACTGATACACTCTTGAAGTCATTCTGTTTCGCTCCATTCTCTCTACATGTCCGAACCACCTCAACAACCCTTCCTCAGCCCTCTGGACAACAGTTTTGGTAATCCCGCACCTCCTCCTAACTTCCAAACTACGAATTCTCTGCATTATATTCACACCACACATTGCCCTCAGACATGACATCTCCACTGCCTCCAGCCTTCTCCTCGCTGCAACATTCATCACCCACGCTTCACACCCATATAAGAGCGTTGGTAAAACTATACTCTCATACATTCCCCTCTTTGCCTCCAAGGACAAAGTTCTTTGTCTCCACAGACTCCTAAGTGCACCACTCACTCTTTTTCCCTCATCAATTCTATGATTCACCTCATCTTTCATAGACCCATCCGCTGACACGTCCACTCCCAAATATCTGAATACGTTCACCTCCTCCATACTCTCTCCCTCCAATCTGATATTCAATCTTTCATCACCTAATCTTTTTGTTATCCTCATAACCTTACTCTTTCCTGTATTCACCTTTAATTTTCTTCTTTTGCACACCCTACCAAATTCATCCACCAATCTCTGCAACTTCTCTTCAGAATCTCCCAAGAGCACAGTGTCATCAGCAAAGAGCAGCTGTGACAACTCCCACTTTGTGTTTGATTCTTTATCTTTTAACTCCACGCCTCTTGCCAAGACCCTCGCATTTACTTCTCTTACAACCCCAAATCTATAAATATATTAAACAACCACGGTGACATCACACATCCTTGTCTAAGGCCTACTTTTACTGGGAAAAAATTTCCCTCTTTCCTACATACTCTAACTTGAGCCTCACTATCCTCGTAAAAACTCTTCACTGCTTTCAGTAACCTACCTCCTACACCATACACTTGCAACATCTGCCACATTGCCCCCCTATCCACCCTGTCATACGCCTTTTCCAAATCCATAAATGCCACAAAGACCTCTTTAGCCTTATCTAAATACTGTTCACTTATATGTTTCACTGTAAACACCTGGTCCACACACCCCCTACCTTTCCTAAAGCCTCCTTGTTCATCTGCTATCCTATTCTCCGTCTTACTCTTAATTCTTTCAATTATAACTCTACCATACACTTTACCAGGTACACTCAACAGACTTATCCCCCTATAATTTTTGCACTCTCTTTTATCCCTTTGCCTTTATACAAAGGAACTATGCATACTCTCTGCCAATCCCTAGGTACCTTACCCTCTTCCATACATTTATTAAATAATTGCACCAACCACTCCAAAACTATATCCCCACCTGCTTTTAACATTTCTATCTTTACCCATCAATCCCGGCTGCCTTACCCCCTTTCATTTTACCTACTGCCTCACGAACTTCCCCCACACTCACAACTGGCTCTTCCTCACTCCTACAAGATGTTATTCCTCCTTGCCCTATACACGAAATCACAGCTTCCCTATCTTCATCAACATTTAACAATTCCTCAAAATATTCCTTCCATCTTCCCAATACCTCTAACTCTCCATTTAATAACTCTCCTCTCCTATTTTTAACTGACAAATCCATTTGTTCTCTAGGCTTTCTTAACTTGTTAATCTCACTCCAAAACTTTTTCTTATTTTCAACAAAATTTGTTGATAACATCTCACCCACTCTCTCATTTGCTCTCTTTTTACATTGCTTCACCACTCTCTTAACTTCTCTCTTTTTCTCCATATACTCTTCCCTCCTTGCATCACTTCTACTTTGTAAAAACTTCTCATATGCTAACTTTTTCTCCCTTACTACTCTCTTTACATCATCATTCCACCAATCGCTCCTCTTCCTCCTGCACCCACTTTCCTGTAACCACAAACTTCTGCTGAACACTCTAACACTACATTTTTAAACCTACCCCATACCTCTTCGACCCCATTGCCTATGCTCTCATTAGCCCATCTATCCTCCAATAGCTGTTTATATCTTACCCTAACTGCCTCCTCTTTTAGTTTATAAACCTTCACCTCTCTCTTCCCTGATGCTTCTATTCTCCTTGTATCCCATCTACCTTTTACTCTCAGTGTAGCTACAACTAGAAAGTGATCTGATATATCTGTGGCCCCTCTATAAACATGTACATCCTGAAGTCTACTCAACAGTCTTTTATCTACCATTACATAATCCAACAAACTACTGTCATTTCGCCCTACATCATATCGTGTATACTTATTTATCCTCTTTTTCTTAAAATATGTATTACCTATAACTAAACCCCTTTCTATACAAAGTTCAATCAAAGGGCTCCCATTATCATTTACACCTGGCACCCCAAACTTACCTACCACACCCTCTCTAAAAGTTTCTCCTACTTTAGCATTCAAGTCCCCTACCACAATTACTCTCTCACTTGGTTCAAAGGCTCCTATACATTCACTTAACATCTCCCAAAATCTCTCTCTCTCCTCTGCATTCCTCTCTTCTCCAGGTGCATCATTTTCTAAAGGCAATGACACAAAAAATGCAAAATCTGATATACAGTAAAACTTATGGAATTACACAAGCGTGAAGTTAGATGTCAGAGAGAACTTTTCATAACAGCAATTTCACCCAATTTATGGCAGATTTTAGGCCAATTCTAGTGGTCTTTAGCTAGTACACTATGCCTTCTTTACTATCAACTGATAAGAAGCTGACCATTCAACCATAAGACCTACCCTATTAAGTACCTAGCAGTTGGTAGAAATTAAAATAAATAAATAAAGAAGTAAGAATTCTTGAATGTCAATTTGCTACACATGTAATTTAAGAATACAACTTACTTGCCACTCCATCTCAAACTGGTAAGATCCAAGCAATGTAAATCATTCATTCTTGTTTCCTTAAAACGCCCACCGAAAATGTACACTTTGTCACCGGTTATATCAGCTGTGTGTGCTGCTCGAGGAGATGGCTTAGGGCCACGCGTCTCAGGCCATACCCATTTATTATTTTCTGAAAGTGAAGAACAAGAATAACGGCTTCACTTGTGTCATAAGTCTCACTACTGTACATCATACTGCATATACTGATGTGATTATCTCTCAAATTAAATGTAAAATTTCTAAGCTGAGAAAGAAAATTGAAGCACAGCAGTTTAATCAAAATCTTGGCTAACATAATATGAAATGCAAAGACAATACTGATATTAAAATCACTAAACAAGATATGCACCTGCCTCTGCATGATGTATACATGTGTACTATTCCAAACTCATGAAGTGCCCTCTCTATTGTTTATGGTTGGAAGCCCCCACTGAAACATTTTGCCTTGTCACTGCAAGTTTTTCATTAATACGTACTTCTAATTGTATATTATAAAGTTCCTCATTTATTTTGTCAATTTTAATTTCTCAACTTGCAGTGTTTCTTCCACCAATATTGCAAGGTCTCCTCACTTGTTTCCTACTCTGTTTCTCTTCTACAGAACAGTATTTCTTAACCCTTAAACTGTCCAAACGTAGATCTACGTTTGCTCCCGTAGTGCTCCAAACATAGATCTACGTTTTTTTTATTCTTTCTTATGGAGAAAATCAAGGTCGGAGCGCTACACGTGCAAACGTAGATCTACGTTTGGACAGTTTAAGGGTTAAATGCTACATCACTGAAATTTTTTTCCACTTTGGTTTCATACATTCTATACCAGGTTTCCTTTCATTTATTGTCACTTAGCTATAGTCTTCATGTGAGTACTCCTACATTTCTATATATAATCTTTATAAATTTATCCATCACTCTGGTTTGTTGCATTTCATACAATTTTGTTTGGCTTCTCTTTATTCTCTTCTAAATGCTCTGATGAATCAACTGGTTTGTGAGTTTGGCTCTGTTGGCTGGTCTGATGAACTATTTCTTGGTGGGTTTTGTCTTTTTAATTACTCTGATGAAACATCTGCTGGGTGGGTCCAGCTGTTGTTACTCTGATGAATCACCTGATGGGTGGGTCCAGCTGTTGTTACTCTGATGAATCATCTGATGGGTGGGTCCAGCTGTTGTTACTCTGATGAATCATCTGATGGGTGGGTCCAGCTGTTGTTACTCTGATGAATCATCTGATGGGTGGGTCCAGCTGTTGTTGCTCTGATGAACCATCTATTGGGTAGGTTCAACCATACTACTCCATATAAGAAAAGCTAACTTTTTAAAACTTCTACTACACAAGGGTAAAAATTAAAGGATAGAAGGAACAACTAAGGAAACAAGAGAAACTGCAAGAAGAAAACAGACACTAAAAGATGGAAGAGTAAATTATGACATTATATCAGACCCCTAAAAAACAATGGTGTGGGTGTGGCCAAGCATTTTATTTCTCCTAATGATATATTTTCCTAGTAAGAATAAAAAAATAAATAAAACATGTTATATGTGCATCATAATAACTTACCAATATCATAATAAACCAGCTGATCTATCCAACCACTTGGAAAAACACTGTCACGCACAAAATTGACTTTGATACCAGACATTGTGTGCAATTCTCTGGATGGACCAAAACCTCCAAATACATAGAACCTGTGAATGTAATCAATGAAAATTAAATTTAATAATAGATTAATCTCTGGCTAGAAAGAAAAGTTTAACAATAATATTACATTAACTTTAATCTTCTTTTATCACTTCATGCTTTTTAACTTCTTTTGGGTACACAAACTATGTAAGAATTCTGAATGATTAGTCAAAAATGCTACAAATAAATTAGATCAAAAGAGATAATTGTAAATATCAACATCATTCTAAAATGCTTATTCAAAATTGTAAAAGCATATTTTTGTTTTAGTGTTTAGTTTAGAGGAAAAGAGCAGTTCTTAATCAAAATGATATCCAGAGGGAGTAAGTTAAACAAACTATATTCATTTAAGAACAATAACAAGTAAGACTGTTAGGTGCAGATTGTTATTCTATGTTTATACAATATATCCATGTTTAATTTAAGCACATTTCTGTTTTTTAAGCTTTTAAAGATACATTATGTACAAATACAGCAGATATTTTGCAGAATGCCCAGATTGTATTTATTCACTAAAAAGTGCTAAACTAGTTGAGGTCAAATGGTGCTAAAATTCAGATGAATGAGAAAATGTTGCTGCCATTTAACCCTTAAACTGTTCAAACAGATCTACATTCACATGCGTAGATCTACGTTTTTTTACACATTTTCAAGTATAAAAAAAAACATAAATCAAAGTTTTTTTTACACGTTTTCAAATGTAAAAAAAAAGAAAAAGAAGCTCTACGTTTTTTTACATACTTTCAAATGTTGAAAAAACGTAGATCTACGTTTGGACAGTTTAAGGGTTAAACCAAACAAAATGCTGGCCGCTTCCTTAGGGCACAGTGTGTTTTCGAGTGGGAAGTTTTAACTACATTTTTATGTGGTGTTCTTGAGTGTTCAACATACATTTACAATACACTCTTGTAGAATGCAGTAGTTACTGTACTAAAAGTCAATATTCAAATTATTTGTGATGACAAAATTGAAGAACATAAAAAAATTGGGCTACATTCAGGACTCAGACAAGTGAATTTCTAATACAGTATTATTAAATTTATGAGCATAGCAATATGCCTTACAAATAATGTATAGACCAACTTATTCTTCTCAGAAAATTTAATAGATCAAGAAATACGTATATATGAAAAGGCAGGTAGGGAGGGAAAGTGGCAATATTGTTGTACTAACATCTTACTGTCCTTTATGCATTTCTTTATCCATTTGTCAGCTCACAGCTTCTTCTACCTTGAGAACTTAGTGCTGAGAAACATAGCAGGGAACAAAAGCAGAGCAGAGAATGAGAAAAAAAGAGAGGAGATAATATAATACATGTAATAGAAACTGTGTAGAACATCACACTTTAGCATCTAGAGGCTCAGTATTTATTAATTAAGCAATACAGTGGAACCTCAGTTTTCGTGATTAATCCGTTCGAAAAAGTCTGATGAAAACTGAATCGTATGAAAACTGAAGCAATATTTCCCATAAGAAATAATGTAGATCCAATTATAATCCATTCCAGACACCCAAAAATATTAACAAAAAATACATTTTATAGAGAATAACTATAGTTTTACATACAAAAAACAATGAGAAATAAATATAAATGACTAATGAAATGGATAAATGAACATTTAACATCACTTTTACCTTTATTGAAGACTCTTGCTAGCGTATGGAAGACAGCAAGTTGGGGAGACGGAGGAGGAGGAGGAGAGGTTATTGTTTGGAAGGGGAATCCCTGTCCATAAGGAATTCAGGTACGTATCAAAGTCCTATCCAGGGTTACTTCCCTTCTTTGTCTTTTACTGACATTAGGACCAGCTTGAGAGTCACTGGATCCCTGTCGCACAAATTATCGCCTCCAAAACACTATCTCTCACTAACTGTTTTCCGTTGATCCACATCAACAACAACTTACCAACATCTTCGACTATTTGCGATCTCTGTTTCGTTAGCACATTTACCCCTTTCACAACATCCGCTTCCTTGATTTCTTTTTTCTTCGCCAGGATGGAACTGATCGTTGATGTGGACTTCCCGTACATCCTGGAGAGATCGGCCATGTGTACGCCACTTTCATACTTTGCTACGAGTTCTTTCTTGAATTCTATCGTGTTTCTTGCCTTCTTTATCAAAGCACTGGCACTCGGAACTTTCTTTGGCCCCATGGTGGCTTATTTAGCAGTCGCACTCAATAAACAAGCACAAAAAACAATGGATTATTATGAAATATTTCGGATAAACACTCAACGAGAAACAAAGGCAGACTGAGTCACAAACACATGGGATGCTTTGTGTGGGTGCTCGATTTTGAGAATGAGTGGCCGAGTCACACAGGCAAGCGGATGAGTTTGGTACAGACCATTTTCAACTGTATGAAAACCGAGCAGATGTATGGAAACTGGGACAAAATTTCAACGAAAAAACTTGTCGAAAACCGAATCATACGAAAACTGGGGCATACAAAAACCAAGGTTTGACTGATCTATTCTTCATTTTAACAAAAAAAGATGAGAATTAAAACTGAAATGCTGAATATTAGTAGGCCTAAAATGATGCAACGTGGGAGAGAGAGAGAAAGCTAGGAAAAGTAGTGAAAGTAGCTACTCTAGAAGCATACAGTATTATTATTATATTATAATAAAAAAGAAGCGCTAAGCCACAAGGGCTATACAGCAAGCATACAGTAAATCATCGATATAACGGACTTTTAAAATTATGGACAAAATCCACTAAGTAAATTGTACTTTTGTTCCTTCAATTTCAATATTTATTGCAGCATATCTATAAACTGTGTGTACAGTACTATATTAGATATACTGTAGAATACTTCAGTGCATTTTATTGCTTTTTTTAGCTTTCTGATTTAACAGACACTTGGACAATCCCCCTGTTAGTCTGTTATATCAAGGGCTTACTGAATCAGACACAGTCATCAGCCCTGCCAACATTCCCTAATATTCTTGTGTTTTCCTAAAAAGGTTTATCAAACTGGAATAGTTTCCAGCTTCATTTGGGATGGCAAGCAATGCTTCCATGGGTGAGGTGTGGTAGCTGGGCGGAAATTCCTTGTGAGCTGCTGTGGATATAGTCATGACATGTCAGACAACAAGGCTGGCTTAGAGTTATACCATATTTTATCAAGAAATTCCTGAAAGAATCATTTATGTAGTCTATTTTTAACATTCCTGTCAGACCCAAGCGGTTTAATGTGTAGTAAGCTTAACATTGAAGTCAGTGAAGACAATTTTGAATCTGAAATTTGTATGATGGGTATTCTGTAATAATGAAAATTCTAATACAATAACTGCAATCAATAACCATATCACTCCCCACCCTTCCAAGTATAGTATATATGTATTGTGCTTATTATATACAGTACTGTACTGTTTTTACAATTTCAGCTTGTACTGTATGGATTCTATTATGTGGATGATATAATTAAAGTCACACACAAGAATCCTGTACCATTTTATTTCTTGTCTTATTTGTTATTCATTAACTCTAAACAAATGAGCACTTCATAACAGAGTCCTTCAAGTTATCCTGTGGAAACCAAACTGAAAAGGGCAGGGAGGAAAAAAGTTGAATACTTCTGCAATGGTTAATATATATATGTCAGAAAATAATTCCCCAAATCTATTATTACGGTACACAGTGATACCTCGCATATCCGGCCTACCTACCTCGCCAATATCCAAACAGGTCCTAGGAAAAGAGAAAATTCTAAAATTATTACCGAAACATCCGAACAGCCGTTTGGATATGGCAAGAATTTTCAAGGATTGGTTTTTCAACTCTGCAGTGCCTGAGATCACCCATTACCAGACCAAGACTTTGAAAATAAGCCGAGACAGTGTTAAGGCCCTCTTGCTCCTTGACAATGCTCCTGCACATCCCCATGTCTCTAAACTGGTTGCTCATCATGGCCATATCAGAGTTATGTTCTTGCCACCGAATACCACATCACTCATCCAACCCACAGATCAGGGTGTGATTGTGATTTTTAAGAGGCTATACATGTATCGCCAAAGATTATTGGAGGACACGATGGTGATAATTGACAAAAAAGGCTGAGATGTGGGGAGCCTTGACCTTGGCCAACCTTACACAGTACAACTTTTGTGCCATCATTCATAACCTTGCCCGGGCCTGGAATAATGTCCCGCCATCAGCCCTCGCCAATGACTGGAATCGGCTCCTTCACGGGATCTATCTAGTTATTGATTTTGAGGGATTCGAGGTGAAAGATTTTCATCGCCAGTTACTCAAGGCTGGGAAAAAACTACAGAAGACAACGTGCAGAACTGGCTAGTGTGACAAAGACAACCCTGGTGTGCAATCTCTGACAGATGCAGAGATTGCAGAATCAGTGTTGCACCCAGAACATTCCATAAGTGACGACAACGACGACCCAATGCCTCCAAGACCAAAAACTTCAGCAGCAAGGGCAGGTATCAAAACACTTTTGGAGTACTATTTGGAGCATCTACTGTCCACAGCCCATTTGAAAAGTTATGATCCTGTGGTCCGTGAAATCTGGGAGGCTGTTATTAGAGCCCAGTGTGTCTGGTCCCACTGCCAGACAATGCTGACTCATTTTTTAAGCCTACAACGCCATCGCCGATGGCAATATGACAGTACGGATGCACATTTTTCCCCCCTCACGTGTCCAGAAACTCCATGTTTCTGAACTGGTCTTGGCCCATATAGTTCGGATATGAGAGGTATCACTGTACTTAATTGCTTATATTCAATACCTATTTTTGAAGACCCAGCAGGCAGCTTTATCACAGGGAAACGGTGGAATACCCTCTGGAAAGAGGAGCTCCCATGTTAATGTAGATAGATGAAGTCGCCACAAAGAATTGGAACTATTTTCATATTCATCTGAGGTACTGCTGGTCCAACCTATAAGGACAAAACAAAAAAGTTCTTTGTGCTGAGTTCATAATTAATATTTTACAGTCTTGCAGATAATGGACAGTTAATGTAATTTTTGCACAGTACAGTTTTTTTTTTTTTATTTAAAACATTACAATACAAGGTGGAAATTATATTAAAAGGTACACAAAGTAAGTTAAATCACAAATTCCCAATTTACCCTTACAAAAATGATTACACCAGACAACAGTATTTGTGAATTTGCAAACCAACAAAATGTTAAACTAAAGCTGTCTGGGTACAAGGGTTACAGGAGTTTAGAATTCCCTTTCCCCTTGTGTACCATGAAGATACAAAGCTCAATTACAAATGCTGAAAATGTACAATACAGCAGAGCACAGTACAGAGAAGCAGACATTCTTGCTACATATGTAAGCACTTCTTGCATAAATAATAACCTCTCTCCATACATGCCACACCTAAGAGGTATGCATGAAGAGTACAGTATATTGTACTTTACATAAAACCTCAGCATTTGATGTCTGTAAGGATCATCATTGATTAGGAAGGGTGTTGATAAGTGCAGCTCTCAGTCCAACACAGGCAATGTAGCAGTGTGAACATTATACAGAGAATTTGGAGTCTGGAGATGAGGAGGTGTGGAGTTACCAAAAGTATTATTCAGAAGGCTGAGAATGAGTTGGCTAGGTGGTTGGGACATTTAGAGAAGATGGAGAAAAAAATTAGGATGACAAGTAGGGTGTAAAATCTAGGGCTGAGGAAAAAGGGGGTAGGGGTCATCCTAGGGAAGGTTGGAGGGAATAAAGTAGGTTTTGAGTGTTAGGCAATGGATGTCTAACAGGTTTACCTGGAGTTTACCTGGAGTTTACCTGGAGAGGGTTTCGGGGGTCAACACTCCTGGGGCCCAGTCTGAGACCAAGCCTCATGGTGGATCAGGGTCTCATCAACCAGGCTGTTACTACTGGCCGCACGCAAGCTGATGTATGAACCACAGCCCAGTTGGTCAGGTACTGACTTATGGTGCCTGTCCAGTGCCTTCTTGAAGACAGCCAGGGGTCTATTGGTAATCCCCCTTATGTATGCTGGGAGGCAACTGAACAGTCTTGGGCCCCGGACACTTATTGTATTGTCTCTCAGTGTACTCGTGGTGCCCCTGCTTTTCATCGGGGTAATGTTGCATCTCCTGCTGAGTCTTTTGCTTTCATATGAAGTAATTTTCAAATGCAGGTTTGGTACCAATCCCTCCAGGACCTTCCAAGTGCATATTATCATGCATCTCTCTCGCCTGCATTCGAGGGAATACAGATCAAGGACCTTCAACCATTCCCAGTAGTTTAGGTGCCTTATCGCACTTGTGTGTGCCATGAAAGTTCTCTGTACACTCTCCAGGTCTGCAATGTCACCAGCCCTGAAGGGGGCCGTTAGTGTACAGCAGTATGCCAACCTAGAGAGCACCAGCAATTTGAAGAGAATCATCATCCTATCATTTTCCTAGCAGATGAGGTAGATACATTGTTGTGGTGTTTGAGGGTGAGATCCTCTGACATTATCACTCTCAGGTCCTTCACCTTACTTTTCCACTCTATTGTATTGTTAGAATTTGTGGTGTAACCTGATACATTTTTAATTTCCTCAGGTTTCCCATATCTGTGTAGTTGAAATTTCTCCTCGTTGAACTTCATATTGTTTTGAGTGGCCCATTCGAAGATTTGGTTGATGTCCGCTTCGAGTCTCACGGTGTCTTCGATGGAGGTCACTGCCATGGTGATCCAGGTGTCATCCGCAAAGGAAGACATGGAGCTATGGCTTACATCTCTGTCTGTCAGAAATGAGGATGAGGAATTACTGTGCCTTGTGGAGCAAAGCTTTTTATCATAGCTGCCTGGGACTTTACTCTGTTTACTATTACTCTTTATGTTCTACTTGTCAAGAAGTTGTAGATCCATCTACCAACCTTTCCCGTTATTACTTTATCCCGCATTTTGTGTGCTATTATACCATGGCACTTTGTGGGAAAGCTTTTGCAAAGTCTGTGTATACTACAGCTGTATTTTGTTTATCTCTACAACATCCAGGACCTTGTCATAGGGGTCCAGTAGCAGTGACAGGCAGAAGCAACCTGCTCTAAACCTGTGTTGCCCTGGGTTGTGTAACTGATGGGTATCTATGTGGTTGGCTATCTTGCTTCTTAGAACCCTCTCAAAGATTTTTATGATATGGGATGTTAGTGCTATCGGTCTGTAGTTCTTTGCAATTGCTTTACTGCTACCTTTTGGAATAGGGCTATGTCTGTTGTTTTTAGTGTGTGTTGGATGACCCCTGTGTCCGTGCTCCTTCTCCATAAAATGCTGAAGGCACACGATAGGGGCTTCTTGCAATTCTTGATGAACACGGAGTTCCACGAGCAGAGTGCATGGGCATGTCATTAATTGCCTCTTCAAAGTCTTGTGGAGTTAGAATATTATCCAAGATTTTTGAGATGACCAAATTTTGGGTTTCGTTCATAGAATTCATTTGGATTGTCGACCCTTAGAGTGGGAAGTGGCTTGCTGAACACTGAGTCATATCGGGACTTTAGTATCTCACTCATTTCTTGGCTATCATCTGTGTATGTCCCATCCCACCTAAGCAGGGGCCCAATACTAGATGTTTCTCCCTTAGTGCCTCCCTTTGTATTTCAAATATACTGACCCCACTCAGCAGCTCTGTGACTCTTTGCCTTAGTCTGTATAGGGAACATCTCTCTCTTTCTAGTTTACATCTTCTCTTTCTTTTTCTTAATGGAGTGTCTTGAGCATATCTCAAGAACGACAGAATTCATTTTTTCAAGGCAAATGTTCGGATCCGTGGTGTTTAGGATATTTTCCCAGCTTGTTTCATTTAGGACATGGTTTACTTGATACCATTATATATTTTTGTTATTGAAATTGAATTTCGCAAAGAGACCTTCATGACTGCTCACATTTTGCTGGTCTGGAGCCCTGTGCATACACGTCTGTAGTACCTCTATTATGTTGTGATCTGAGTGAATTGTCTTTGATACAGTTATATTACATATCAGATTGTCACCGTTGGTGAAGGCGAGATCCAGCATATTTTCTAGTCTTGTAGGCTCTACTATTTGCTGGTTTAAGGTGAATTTGTTGCAGAGATTTAATAGTTCGTGTGTGAATTTTCATCTGAGCTGCTTCCCGGGGTGATCTCTGCTAAAACACTGTTTGCTATACTCTTCATTTTAGGTGTATCAGGTTGAAATCTCCTAGTAGTAAGATGTTTGGGGCAGGAGTTGGGAGATTTTCCAGACAGTGGTCAATTTTCTCGAGTTGCTCCTGGAATTGCTGGGAAGTTGCATCTGGAGGCTTGTATACTACCACAATGACAAGGTTTTGGTTTTCGATCTTTACTGCCAAAACTTCAACTACATCATTTGAAGGGTTTAGTAATTCTATGCAAATGAGCGACTGTGACATACATGCCAATCCCCCCCTTGTTGCCTGTTTAGTCTGTCGCATTCCAATAGGATATAACCTGGGATCCACATTTCGTTCGTTGTCATAATGATCCTTTATGTGGGTCTGTGAATGCTGCAAACATTGCATTTGACTCAGTGAGCAGTCCCTTTATGTAAGGAATTTTGTTTTTTGACAGCTTTAGACCCTGTATGTTTGCATAGACAAATGTCATATTGGTGGAATTTAGGGGGGGTTTTATTTGCTGGCTCTAAAATCTGTTGTTCTCAGGTAGAGGCCAATGTCCGTGCCTCTGCTCCATGCTGCTTGTGCGAGTATGTAAGACAAGAGTGAGATATTGCAGTTATGAGGGTCATGTGAACCATGATGTTAGCATGCTTCTTGCAAGACAATGACTGAATGAATGATGAAACGTTTTCCTCATCTTCAGGCCACCCTGCCTCGATGGGAGAAGGCTGGCGTGTTAAAAAATGTGATATACATCTATTTGCCTTGGGTTTTTCTTGCATGCTTCAGTTTTGGCTCTATACTTTAATTCATGAAGGCTGGTCTACGAATATTCTGAGAGGCACTGCTGCCCTCTCATGCAGGTGATCAAATGGACATATGCTTAATGTTTTGCTCTCTGATAACATTACTGGTTTTTGCTTTACTAAATAATATTGTCCATCTAATTTCTGAAAATATTCAAGTTTTGAAGAAATCTGTACCAAATTATCTTAGTGGAAATGAGAGTATCAGCAAACAGAATTTTATTTCTAATGACAATTCATGATGGAAAAAAAAGGAGACACTGATCTTAGCTCCCTCCTACAAATATTCAAGCATTATCTTTATTATTACACTGCTTTAATAAATACAATGCCATAAATTTAACAGATAGTAGCCATAAAAATAGCATAATAAAACCATTATTACATTTCCGTAGCTACAACAAGAATAGACACACATCCCTTTATCCGAAATTCTGAAATTTGAAAAGTTTTGAAAACTGAAGTTTTTTCGTGGAGTGTGGAGCATCAGTCATTTCTACATAACTTCAACGCTGCCACGTGGTGGTGTGTTCACACGTGCATCTGCCGTTGGCTGATATTTTGTTTTTGCTTTTTATTTTGTGACTGTTTAATTTCACTGTGAAAATGTCAAAAAGAGCTGCAGATACCCTTATGGGTAAAAGTGAGAAAAAGAAAAGGAAGCATCTGACTTTATCAATAATGCAGAAAATAGAGTTATTGCAGAAGCTTGATCATGGTGTGTCAGTGTGGCGTCTTACTAAAGAATATGGTGTTGGAACTATCACTGTTTATGATTTAAAGAAATAGAAAGACAAGTTACTGAAATATTATAGTGACAGTGACGACCAAAAACTAATGAAAAATAGGAAAACACTGCATAGGGCAAAAAACGAAGATCTTGACTGTGTGCTAATGGAGTGGATATGACAATGAAGAAGTGAACTTATGCCACTGACTGGTTTGTTGGTCATGAAACAAGCTAGAATATACCATGAAGAACTGAACACTGAAGGTGAATGTCAATATTCAGATGGTTGGCTGCAGATATTTAAGAAGCATAATGGTGGAAAATGTCTGAAAATCTGTGGTGAAAAAGCTTCTGCTGACCATGAAGCAGCTGAAAATTACATTGACAAATTTGCCAAGATAATATCTGACAAAAACCTTAGTCCTGAACAAATTTACAGTGCTGATGAAACAGCTCTCCATTGGTGCTATGTTCCGAGAAAAACAAACAACGGCTGATGAGAGAGCACCAACAGGCTTAAACCCTTTGACTGTTTTGGTCGTATATATACGTCTTACGAGGCACAGTTTTTTACATATATATACTCATAAATTCTAGCGGCTTCAAATCAAGCAGGAGAAAGCTGGTAGGCCTACATGTGAGAGAATGGGTCTGTGTGGTCAGTGTGCACCATGTAAAAAAAATCCTGCAGCACACAGTGCATAATAATAAAAAAAAAAAACTGACCATTTTTTTTTTAATTAAAATGCCAACTTTGTGGTCTATTTTTGTAAAGTATTTATGGTTGTATTCTCGTTTTCTTGGTCTCATTTGATAGAATGGGAAACATATTATAGAAATAGAGGTGATTTTGATTGGTTTTACTATGAAAAGAACCTTGAAATGGACCTCAAAGTACGGGAAATGTTTGATTTTTTGCTGATGTTCAAAAGTAAACAAATGATGTCATTTTCCAATAAATGTCCAAGTAGCCATTCTAATATGCAGTCATGAATGAGTTGACATTATTTATACAATTATTACAATATTGCAATAGACTGCATAACAGTAAATCTTCTATTTTTTGTTTGAATAAAAATTCAGAATAGAAAGCAAGAGTAGTATCAGGGGGGCCTGGAGATATGACTGATGAACAAAGAAAATGTTATTTTAGAGCCAGGAATGTCTGCATTGTTCATTCTGGACCCTATTTTGAAATTGTCATATTTTTTAATTTTCGTGAAATTGGCCAAATTGCAAATTTCTGACCACATTATTGGGTAGTTGAAATCGGTAAATAGGCAGTTTCTTGTACTCAATCAATAGAAAAAATGGAGTTCTAAAGAAATAGCTACGAGTTTGGTCGACTGGAACAATGGAATTAGCAGAAAATAGGGCTCAAAGTGGGAGAAATCGCCGATTCGTAAATATCGCCGGGGTTGCTAACTTCACGAGAGTGTAACTCCGTCATTTTCTATCAAATTTCGTTATTCTGGTGTCATTACAATTGGAAAAAGATTCTCTATCATTTCACAAGAAAAAATAATTTTTTTTTTTTTTTTAAATTTTGCGACACCAGGAGACACCTCAGGATTTGGGGTTGCGACAGTCAAGGGGTTAAGGATGCTAAGGACAGGTTAACTATTCTTAGGTTTGCCAATGCTGCAGGCACACACACATGGTGAAGTTGGCAGTGATTGGAAAAGCAAACATCCGAGATGTCTGAAAGGTGTGTATACAATTTACCTGTGCATTATTATGCCAACAAGAAGGCACGGGTAGCCCGAGAAATGTTTTCTGAGTGGTTCAATAACCACTTCATACCAGCTGCACGAGCTCATTGCAGGCAAGTTGGACTAGAAGGAAACTAAAATTTTATTGTTCCTGGATAACTGCTCCGCACATCCCCATGCCGAACTTTTTGCGAAAAGTAATGTTTCGGCATCTACTTGCCCCCTAATGTGACATCTGTATTACAGCCTTGTGACCAAGGAATTTTACGCTCCCTGAAGAGCAAGTGCAGTGGTACCCTGAGTTTCGAACTGCTCCAAACTCAACTAATTATGTAAGTGTATTATTGTAAGTGCTTTTGTAAGTGTATTTTTGGGGGTCTGAAACAGACTAATCTAATTTACATTATTCCTTATGGGAACAAATTTGTTAGGTAACGGCACTCTAACAGCCTCCGGAATGAAGAAAGTTCGAAACTCGGGGTACCACTGTATAAAGACTATTTTTTAAACTGTATGCTTGCTGCAGTCAACAGAGGAGTAGGAATCCAAGACTTCCTGAAAGAGTTCAGTGTTAAGGATGCCATTTATACAGTTGTTAATGTTTGGAAGGATGCTGATATATCAACATTAACAAATGCTTGGCACAGACTTTGGCCTAAAACGAAGTTTGATGTAAATGAACCTACAGATGAAGACTTCGAAGGATTTCGTGTCACTGACGAGATGATGATATCAAACCTTGTAACTTACGCTAAAAGTTTATCAGACAAAAATGTAAATAAATTACAGGAAGCTGACATCGAAGAAATGCTGATCACTGACAATGATGCACCTGTCGTGGATTCCTTGAGTGATGGTGAAATTGCTGAAATGGTGTTAAATACAAATAAGCATGAGAATAGTAGAGCTGAAGATGATGACACTGAACACAGGTGAAAAAGTCCCCATAGACGATATGGTGAAAATGTGTGATCAGTTAATTGATGGCCTTGAATAATGTGCATTTATCAGCGAGCAAGAGATTATGGCCATTTACTCAGTTAAAGAGAGATTGCTTAGACAGAAACCTATGTTAACAAGACAGACGACACTTGAAGAAGTCTTTAAAAATGACATGTCAATCGTCTTGAGAATTATGTTCCTGGTCTATAATGATCCCATTATTTCATTTATAAATATATTACTCTATAAATAAACTGTAGTAGTATTTGTAGTCTTTATTAATCCCACTTAGTGTGAGTATTCGTACATTTTTGCTGGAGCGTTAATGTTTGATTATGGGGTGCTGCCCTAGACCCCACCTTCATTATGAAATTCGAAAATTTCTTAAGTTCGAAACTCTACTGGCCCCAAGGGTTTCGGATAAAGCGATGTAGACCTGTACTATGATCTGTTTCTATCTTTAATGTTAATGTAAATAACTGAATTTACTTTACCCCTAATATATCTCCCTTTATTATACATAGTTAAATTACTTACCTGCTTTAACTTTTAAATATAAATAATGCTTACCACAAGGACACCAATGGAAATAAGTCACTTGTCTGATTTTTGTGGGTTATCCTAGGTAATCTACACATATGGTGCTATGTATGATAATCTATGCAACTGTATTTGTGTGTACCTGAACTTGAATAAATTTACTTACTTAAACAAAGCACTAGGAGAGTAAAATATATTTATAATTATTTTAAAAATTATTAAATGTTTAAAAAATTTGGCTACTGTGTGGATTTTTTCTCTCTCAATACTGTCCACTGAGAATTTATTAAAATTAAAAAATTAAATGTAATTTGAAAATACATTATGACAAACATAACAGTACCCCCAAAGAGATACATGTGTTGCTTATGAACAGCTGCACAAGATCCTGAAAGCTGTAGAGGAATGTGCCCATTGCTCATCCGACGAGTCCTGAAAATAAAATATATATATGGTTATAAACAGAATACAATATACAGTGGACCCCCGGTTAACGATATTTTTTCACTCCAGAAGTATGTTCAGGTGCCAGTACTGACCGAATTTGTTCCCATAAGAAATATTGTGAAGTAGATTAGTCCATTTCAGACCCCCAAACATACACGTACAAACGCACTTACATAAATACACTTACATAATTGGTCACATTCGGAGGTAATCGTTATGCGGGGGTCCACTGTATTTAAAATCTTATTTTTTTAAGATTAAGCAATATATATTAACCTTAATCTGCTAAGAAGGCAATCTCCAAAAATTAACAATGGAAACCTTATTAGCATAGAAAATCCTAAGATCTAATCCACTATCATAGATATTTAATTATGAAACAATATGCTCCATAGGTATGTGTGGCATATAATATGTGAGAGTAGTATAAGTATGACTAAAGCTAATTTTTAATCATAATTTTTTTTCATAACTGTGTACATCCAAGATCAAAGATATTTTGTATGGAAATTTTTAGTGAAGAGTCACAGAGCTGCTGAGTGGGGCCAATATATCTGAAATACAAAGAGAGGCACTAGTCAATGAAATTGCAAATATCGAACTCAAGTTGAAGGAATATTACAGGAGACAAGAATCACAGGAAGAACTAAGTCATAAAGGAAATTAAAAAAAAAAAAATACTTCTTCTCTCATGCCAAATCTAAGGGAAAAACAACATCCAGTGTTGGGCCCCTGCTTAGGCGGGATGGAACATACAAAGATGACAGCCAAGAAATGAGCGAGATACTAAAGTCGCAATATGACTCAGTGGGCCACTGCCCAGACTAAGGGTTGACAATCCAAATGAATTCTTTATGAACGAAACCCAAAATTTGGTCATCTGAAAAATCTCGGATATTATCCTAACTCCACAAGACTTTGAAGAGGCAATAAATGACTTGCCCATGTACTCTGCCCAGGCCCAGACTCATGGAACTCCGTGTTTATCAAGAATTGCAAGAAGCCCCTACCGCGTGCCTTCAGTATTTTATGGAGAGGGAGCATGGACACAGGGGTCATCCCACACACTAAAAACAATAAAGCCCCACTCTACAAAGGTGGCAGTAAAGCAATTGCAAAGAACTACAGACTGATAGCACTAACATCCCATATCATAAAAATCTTTGAGAGGGTTCTAAAAACAAGATCGCCAACCACCTAGATACCAATCAATTACACAACCCAGGGCAATAGGGGTTTAGAGCAGGTCGTTCCTGCCTGTCCCAGCCACTGGACCACTATGACAAGGTCCTCGATGCTGTAGAGGATAAACAAAATACAGATGTAGTATACACAGACTTGGGAAAGCTTTTGACAAGCGTGACCATGGTGTAATAGCACACAAAATGTGTGATAAAAAAATAACAGGAAAAGTTGGTAGATGGATCTATAACTTCCTAACAAATAGAACACAAAGAGTAATAGTAAACAGAGTAAAGTTCCAGGCAGCCACGGTAAAAAGCTCTGTTCCACAAGGCACAGTGCTCGCTCCCATTCTATTCCTCATCCTCATTTCTGACACAGATGTAAGCCATAGCTCCGTGTCTTCCTTTGCAGATGACACCCTGATTACCATGGCAGTAACCTGCATCGAAGACACTGCGAGACTCCAAGCAGACATCAAACAAATCTTTGAATGGGCCACTCAAAACAATATGAAGTTCAACGAGGAGAAATTTCAACTACTCAGATATGGGAAACTTGAGGAAATTAACCCTTAAACTGTCCAAACGTAGATCTATGTCCACGTGCGGGGGGCTCCTAACGTAGATCTATGTTATTTTTACATGCTTTCAAATGGGGAAAATCAAGGTCGGAGCACTGCGCACATGAACGTAGATCTACGTTTGGACAGTTTAAGGGTTAAAAATGTATCAGGGTATATGACAAATTCTAACCATACAATAGAGCGGAAAAGTAATGTGAAGGACCTGGGAGTGATAATGTCAAAGGATCTTGCCTTCAAAGACCACAAAAATGTATCTACCTCATTTGTAGGAAAATGATAATGGATAATGAGAACCTTCAAAAGTAGGGACGCCAAGCCCATGATGATTCTCTTCAAATCGCTTGTGTTCTCTAGGTTGGAATACTGCTGTACACTAACAGCCCTCTTCAAGGCTGGTGACATTGCAGACCTGGAAAGTGTACAAAGAACCTTCACGGCACACAAGTATGATAAGACACCTAAATTACTGGGAACGGTTGAAGGTCCTTGTTCTGTATTCCCTGGAATGCAGGCGAGAGAGATACTGTACATGATAATATACACTTGGAAGGTCCTGGAGGGATTGGTACCAAACCTGCACACAAAAATCACTCCCTATGAAAGCAAAAGACTCGGGAGGAGATGTAACATTACCCCGACGAAACGCTGGGGTAACTAACAAAAAAGGCACAATATCGTGACTGGAACGATACACAAATAACCCGCACATAAAAGAGAGAAGCTTACGACGACGTTTCGTCGTCATCGACGTCGTCGTAAGCTTCTCTCTTTTATGTGCGGGTTATTTGTGTAAAAGCTGGGGTGCCATGAGTACACTGAGAGACTAACACAATAAGTGTCCGGGGCCCAAGACTGTTCAACTGCCTCCCAGCATACATAAGGGGGATTACCAACAGACCCCTGGCTGTCTTTAAGAAGGTACTGGAGTTTACTCCAGGTAAACACCAGGCACCTAAAGCCAGTACCTGACCAACTGGGCTGTGGTTCGAATGTGAGCTTGCGTGCAACCAGCAGTAATAGCCTGGTTGACGAGACCCTGATCCACCATGAGGCCTTGTCTCAAACCGAGCTGCAGGGGCATTGACCCCAGAAACCCTCTCCAGGTAAACTCCAGGTAAACTATTACAAAATTATTTTTCACAATTCCAAGTTCATTCTTCAATAATAATGAAAGTTTAACTGAACAATATGCATGGGAAATGCTGAATTTAAGCAATTATAGTCTACTATATAAATTAACAGTTTCAAAAAATAATTATTAGTATTAGATTTACATACCATGTATCAAGAAGAGGATCATACATAAAAACATCTATGGCACTATGGTATAAGCACTTGCTTGGTGTCATAAGCGTGTAGGATTCCGAATGAGGCAGCTCCTGAAAAAAATAATAGAAAACCAAAATTTTCTCCAAGTATAAAATTCTTAGTATGTCTTGATTCTAATCTCGCAGTTACTACTTCAAAGATATTTATGAAAAAATTACTGTAAGTACCAGTACTTAAAAAGTACTTTCAATACTAATATTAAGAAAGCTAACATATAATGTATTTACCATAGTCGAAGGTAGCACATTATGACGACTTAACCTAGGATATCCTAACTTTTATCCAAGCTGCTAATATTGTACATGTCTGATGCCTTAACCTTAAATATCCTTACAATTCCTCCAATGTATTTAAATCCATGGTGTACTGTACTCCTTAGCTTCTGTCTTGAATTTGTTGATGCAACTATTGATTTTTTAGCTAGTTAGCTGCTTTATATTCGTTCTTTATTGCTTTTTTTTTTTTCAAATAACTAATGATGCCTGGCTGCAGACACTGACTATTAAAAATTGTTTTTATATCTCAGTTTTTTATGCCTGACCTATAAAGTGGTAAATATTTTCTTAATACAAGAAAAAAACGATCAATTCGTATGGGTCATTCAGCGCTGCCGAACTTACATAAATCTGAGGTATTGGATAATCAGAAATAAAGTGTAAATATGGAAAGTAATGATGGATTAAGTGTAGTGTGTCATTCTCAGCCTAAAGCTATAATTAGTATAACTACGTATTAAAACTCTTTACCATATAGCCACCCCACACGAATAATCTCTTGTCAAAGGCCACCATCACATGTCCAGCTCTCCGGTGAATAAACTGATACTCTACTGGCTCTGCACGTGGCATTGTTTTAATATGTTTCACTCTAGATATAATTCTATGGCCTGGACACACAATAATAATAATAATAACAATAATGAAGGGAGGAGAAACTGTGAGAGAGCAGAGCCACACTGGTGTCGTCATCTACTATCAACACTCACAATTATACTCTCAACAACAGAAAATGGTTATCCTTCTGACCTCTTGTAATAGATAACTAATTAGTATTATATATCTTGCTGCTAAATGGTAAAAGGATTTAGTCTATCGACTACAGTAGGGCCATTAAGGCTGCATGTTGCTGGTTTACAGCCAGACAAGTATAGTTTAATCACTAAGGTTGTAAATGGTCTGGTGGTACCGACAAACTGTGGGAAGGGATACTTAGGTATATTTCAGGACATTTATTAAAGGACACATTCCCCCACGATCGTCTTCATCAGTCCTAATAAAGAGTAAGCTATGTAAGGTTCGTCAGGAAACAGGACAAGTGTTGCCTGACACGGGTCTTAGTCATACGATGACCCGCAGCTGGAGTTTTTGGTCATCTGACCGAGGCCTTCCACTGGCTTACTCCTCCACCCTTTTAAAAATTAGGGTTAAAACTTCTATCGATAGAACTCTCCAAGACGTACAGGGTAAGCTAAAATAGATTTACAGTAGACAGTGCAAGTGACCTGAAGCAAAAGTAAGGCGAGGAGGAATTAGATTTTTAGATTTTACCACCGAAGTGGCTAGTTTATTGTGCATCCCATATCCATCCTGTGGACGGTAGCGCAAGAGCATATGGATACACAAAAGGCCTAGGAACTAGGCCCCAAAAAGGGTTAACAGGTGTACATATGAGTTTATATCTACATATCTATAGTTCACTTATCTGTTACAAGCAAATTTAGGAAATTTGCTTAGTATATCTGGTATCTCATTTTCATTAATGAGATATCTATTATTTAATAAGATATCTATTATTTAACTGCATTATCAACTTATGCCGCACTCTGCGACCGAAACACATCTAGTTATTATATTCTAGAAGAACGCTAAACTCGTAAGGGTCATACAGCGCCTAGGGGAATGAGGGACAGAGAGGATAAGATAAGATAAGATTTCGTTCGGATTTTTAACCCCGGAGGGTTAGCCACCCAGGATAACCCAAGAAAGTCAGTGCGTCATCGAGGACTGTCTAACTTATTTCCATTGGGGTCCTTAATCTTGTCCCCCAGGATGCGACCCACACCAGTCGACTAACACCCAGGTACCTATTTGCTGCTAGGTGAACAGGACAATAGGTGTAAGGAAACGTGTCGAAATGTTTCCACCCGCCGGGAATCGAACCCGGGCCCTCCGTGTGTGAAGCGGGAGCTTTAGCCACCAGGCCACCGGGCCTGGTGCAATTCCTGTATCAAGAGCCTCTAACTGGCATCAAGGTATCTCCTTGGAGGAGTCATTAAACATATATACCCTGACAGAGATAAGTAGGCGAGTTTATTCTGATGTATAACTCTGGGAAAATAAGCTGCTGTTGTTACTATTGGCTGTTTATCTGAGTCATTTAGAGGTCAGTTAAGCTCCCCCAGAACATTAATACCAGTGGTTGTATTTTCAATAACACGGTCGTGATGCAAAGGAATATTCCAGCACCGTGTCTTCCTTTGCAGATGACACCCGAATCTGCATGACAGTGTCTTCCATTGCAGACACTGCAAGGCTCCAGGCGGACAGCAACCAAATCTTTCAGTGGGCTGCAGAAAACAATATGAAGTTCAACGATGAAAAATTTCAATTACTCAGATATGGTAAACACGAGGAAATTAAATCTTCATCAGAGTACATAACAAATTCTGGCCACAAAATAGAGCGAAACACCAACGTCAAAGACCTGGGAGTGATCATGTCGGAGGATCTCACCTTCAAGGACCATAACATTGTATCAATCGCATCTGCTAGAAAAATGACAGGATGGATAATGAGAACCTTCAAAACTAGGGAGGCCAAGCCCATGATGACACTCTTCAGGTCACTTGTTCTATCTAGGCTGGAATATTGCTGCACACTAACAGCACCTTTCAAGGCAGGTGAAATTGCTGACCTAGAAAATGTACAGAGAACCTTCACGGCACGCATAACGGAGATAAAACACCTCAATTACTGGGAGCACTTGAGGTTCCTAAACCTGTATTCCCCGGAATGCAGGCGGGAGAGATACATGATTATATACACCTGGAAAATCCTAGAGGGACTAGTACCGAACTTGCACACGAAAATCACTCACTACGAAAGCAAAAGACTTGGCAGACGATGCACCATCCCCCCAATGAAAAGCAGGGGTGTCACTAGCACGTTAAGAGACCATACAATAAGTGTCAGGGGCCCGAGACTGTTCAACTGCCTCCCAGCATACATAAGGGGGATTACCAACAGACCCCTGGCATTCTTCAAGCTGGCACTGGACAAGCACCTAAAGTCGGTTCCTGATCAGCTGGGCTGTGGCTCGTACGTTGGTTTGCATGCAGCCAGCAGCAACAGCCTGGTTGATCAGGCTCTGATCCACCAGGAGGCCTGGTCACAGACCGGGCCGCGGGGGCATTGACCCCCGGAACTCTCTCCAGGTAAACTCCAGGTAAAACCACTGCAGCATTATGTCAGGCACCCGAGTAGTAGTAGCACGTTCATGAGGGAGGCGCTAAACCCATAGGAGTCACACATTTTATATATATATATATATATATATATATATATATATATATATATATATATATATATATATATATATATAATATATATATATATATATATATATATATGCAAAACAACCACTGTGAAAGAACAGAGAAATTTCAAGCGCTTTCGTGACTACTCACATTATCAAGGAACTATGAAAGTAAAGAATCCAAGGAAGGTATATAAGGGGTCTGGACAACACCTCACTATGAGATCCCACAACAGTTAAACACCTGACGTGCGCTGGCCCAACTGGACAGGTCCTTCGCACAACCCACCAACAAACTATTCTACCCAAGAAAATTTTAAAAATTATTATTTGTCCAGTGTATTATTAAATTCTTCCCAAATTCTATTAATTATAAATGGATCTAATTTATATAAACCAAAGGAAATATTCATATTATTGTCAAAACTGCTTTTTATGAAACAAGATTCAATTATATTCCTGTCGACCATGGACTTGCTTGATACTACTTTCTCAACTTTTTGAAAATCATTTGGATTCAAATTCAAATTCAAAGTTTATTCTCTATAAAGATTACAATGTTGAATTTACAGAATTTGGTTGTTGTGTGGTTTACATGTAGTTAAATAATGATTACAGAGTGTACCACTAGAACGCCTAGCATGGCTAGGCATTTCGGGCAGACTTAGTTTAATTCTTTATTTTAAAATATTACAAATTATGAGGTAAGTTGGTATTATGGCTAAGTGACTAAATACTAGTTTGTGAGTTTAGCAATGTGAATGCTTTTGTTTTGGCACAGTACATAGTTTCAGTATTGGAGTATCATAGGATTCATTATTTTAAGATTGAGATTAATATTTCTGTTTATGGTCAAATAGGTGAGTGAGTGTAAGTGTGAACCACCAGGTGGTATTCGTGTAGTTAGTTGATGGGGTTTATCAGGGAGATAAGATGTTTTCTAATGGTAGTTTTAAAGGTGATGAATGTCTCTGCAGTTCTAGAGTTCTCAGGTAGGGTGTTCCAGATTTTAGGGCCTTTGACATACATTGAATTTTTGTAAAGGTTTAGTCGGACACGGGGAATGTCGTAGAGATGTTTGTGTCTGGTGTTATGCCTGTGGGTTCTGTCACAACTATCAAGAAAGCGTTTTAGGTCAAGGTTGATATTGGAGTTTAAGGTCCTGTAGATGTAGATTGCACAGTAGTAAGTGTGGATGTACTGAACAGGGAGTAAGTTTAGATCTATGAAGAGTGGGGGGGAGGGTGTTGCCAGGGATGGGATTTAGTGATTATTCTTACTGCAGCTTTTTGTTGGGTTATTATTGGCTTTAGGTGTGTTGCTGCAGTTGATCCCCAAGCACAAATAGCATAGGAGAGGTATGGATAAATGAGTGGTATAGTGTGAGAAGGGCATTTTGCGGCACGTAGTATCGTATCTTGGAGAGGATCCCAACTGTTTTGGATACTTTTTTGGTTATGTGTTGGATATGGGTGCAGAAATTCAGGTTGTTGTCAAGGTATAGGCCTAGGAATTTGCCCTCATTATGTCTGGTAATTAGAGTGTTGTCGATCTTAATGTTAATTTGTGCATGTCCTGCTCTGCTACCAAACATAATATAGTAGGTTTTGTCAGTGTTAAGCGCAAGTTTATTGGCTGTCATCCAAGTCGATATTTTGATCAGCTCCTCGTTAACAATGGTGTTGGATGGTTAAAATCTCTTACATGAATAAATAGAGCATTGGAATCTTGTCCAGTTCTAATGCTATATTTATGTTGTTTTAATCTTAGTTCGAGATTTTTACCAGTTTGACCGTAATAAACTTTATCGCAAATTTTACAAGGAATCTTATAGACACATCCATCAGCATTTTGGGGGGAATTCTTTATCAAAAGTTTTTTTACTGTATCAAGATTTTTGAATACAACTTTAATATTAAAAGTCTTAAGAAGAGAAGACATATCAACCAAGTTTTCATGGTAAGGGAGAACCAACATATTTTTAGTTGAATAAGGCTGGTTGTCCCTTTTTGGATTGTAAAAAGTGTTTCTAGCAACTTTAAAAGATTTATCAATTACATTTCTTTGGTATTTTAAATCATTACCTATTTCATAAATTTTGGATATTTCCTCATCTATTAACTCAGGACTACAAATTCGTAAAGCTCTCAAAAACGTTGATGAGAAAACAGACAGTTTGACTCTATTTTGATGCGAAGAATAATAGTGGACATAGGAACAGTTATTTGTAGGTTTTCCGTAAATTTTAAATTTGAGTTCATTATTACCCTTAATAATTAAAACATCTAGAAAAGGCAATGAGTTATTTTCTTCATACTCAACAGTAAAGTTTATAGAATGGACTAAGCTATTTAATTTTCCAAGGAAATGGTGTATATCTACATTTTTGGGCATAAGACACAAAATATCATCAACATATCTGAACCATTTAGCTCTATTAGGCAGGATTGTGTTAAGCA